ATATAAGGTCCACCTAGATAGAACACGCAGCGGCGAGCCTATCCATTCCCACATCCAGTCACCAATGGTGGCTTTGCTTCGTACTGGATGCAGGTACTGCTCGGATGCCTCTGGCTTGCACAAAGCACAGCTGCGAGTCTATGGCAGGGAGAAAGGCATCCCTGTGAGCCTGATCTTCCAGTGCGACTGGCCGGAGGAGAGGGTGTGACACAACTTCTATAGTTTTTGTTGGTGATAAACAGATGGGAAAGGGCCTGCCCCAGTGCCTTTGCACTCACCTAACATACCACGTATCCATTTTGCACCAATCCTTCATGAAGCATACCGCTACTACTCTGTGGTCTCTGTGGGATAAAATTTGTATTGCGAGAGAGGCCCTACAGTAGGCCCTACATAAGCACCCACATGTTGATCACATGACATTTTTGGCATGAAACACCTGCCACATCACATGGCCCTTTTTAGATTGCGTTGCAACATCAAATCATAATTGTTGGATAGCGGGAGACAGAGTGAACTGGGCATCAGGCTTTGCAGGCTGGTGGAGGAATGGTGAGTCCATGCCACTTGGTGGTTAGAAGATGTTAGAAGCGTTGGATTTTTTTCTTTATATCAGCAAATCCTTGCCGCTTCCATGCTTGCAGGAGCTGAGCGAGGTGGAAAACTTCGAGGTCTTCTTGGAGAATGAGGAGGGGAAGACTTTGGGGAAGGTGGCGGTGAACCACAACACGCCAACCGCAAAGCACCAGAGTGTTGCTTGTGTGCGCGACGTTTTCATGTTGGATGGGGTCAATGAGACTTTGGCGTACAAACACTTGGTCGAGTGGTTCCTCGGCTTTTGACTTTGACTCCGGAGGGTGGATTTGTTAGCAAAACGAGGAGTCCGAGGAGTTCTAGCAAATAACAAGAGGTAGCTTCCCGGTGACCGAGATTTAAGAAGTCACCAGGGGAAGTTTGCACACTGGTTGCCCATCGCAGTCGGAGTCGCAAGTTAACCAATGTCGTGCTCAGGTTAGAGTTTCATCTCTACCATGGGATGGATCACTTCTTCGTTTATACCTTCGGCACTGTGGACGATGTCTATGAGGAGATATTGAAGCCATACCTCCTGGCAGGCGCAGCAACCCGGATCCACTTCAAGACGCGTCCTGACTTTCACCGGCTGCGGCACTACTGGAGCATGACCGATTGCTTGTACCGGTCCAAGACGCCTGGTTTTATGCTCCTTTACATTTTTTTGTATCATTGGTGAGGTACCTTTTTTGTGGAATCAATGGGGAATAGCTAGATTCAAGCTAGACTGCCAACCCGTTTGAGACTTCCATTGCAGCGCATCACCCAGTGCAATGACGAGAAGCAGCGATGCATACAACGCGCAAAGACAGCACCAAACAGTTCCGCAGCACATCCCGCCAGTGGCCCGACCCTGGTGCTGCCAACCATGACGTCTTTTGGCAACACCCGGTGACAAGGACGACAGGAAATTCACTGAGGCAAATATGTTCACCAAATTCCATCACAACTGAGACAACCGAAAATATTTGCTGCAAAGCATCACCCAATGCCTGACCAGCCCGACAACAAACAACAGACAACAAACAATGACTCGGACAGAACAAACAATGACGCGCACACACACAACCACAACACCAAACAGAAGCCCAACAAGTTCCGCCAGTGGCCGGAACCACACTTCCACCAGCGGCCCAGCACATAATGATTAATGTAGTCTCTTGATTTATAAACTCCCCCCCCCCTCAACAACCAAGGCCTCCAATATAATATACAGTACAAGAAAACCAATCAATTGATAAATAAATAAGGAATCCTTAGCTAGCTACCTCTGGAGCTACTCTGGCAATACTAAAATGAAAGGAATCAAGAAACCCAACTTTGAAGGCATCTGGAATATTTAAATGAAAAAGGATCAATGAAACCTCAGATTGAAGACATCTGGAACTTTTGGAAAGCTTAAAGACTAAAGAGCTTAGGTAAGTAAAGCAAACCAAAAGGAAAAGAAAGGGAATGAATACAAGTTTACTTAAAAGCAACATGTGTTTTAAGCCTGAAATCTCTAGACATTATTCTAGGGTCCCACCCTAAATAATGTCAGAAAGCTGCTTGCTGGACTACCCCCTTTGTTTGAATGATGTTTTTTGTTTTTCAATACTTTTGAATAAGGGATTTTGTAAAGAAAGTGTGCACT